TGTTATTGTGGTTGGCTATTACTCCAAAAACAATTTAGAAATGCAGCTCTTCCATGGCACTTTACGGCGGTTTTAGTTAATTAGTGTTCAGTGTTATAGCTTTGTTAATAATACTGCGGGCTGTTGTACTCACAGAGGTTTATTCGTCCATTTTCATGGACATAACTAGCCCAGTTTAGAGTTTTCCCAACTTTAATCACATTTGGAATGACAGCAAACATGAAAGAGATAATTATTGAAATCCCATTTTACTTAAGAACCGTGATTGGATTCTTGCCATTTTCAGAAACAGATAAGGTATATATCAGAATAAAATATTTAGCTGTAGAATACACATCAAATCATAACCAGAGGGGAATATCAAGCACAGCTGGAAATCTTGTCCATTATCCATATTACCTACACTGTAAAAAAAAATTCGTGATACAAAAGTATTTTACTGTGTATTTTACAGTTTTGCACTGTTCTTCTAGAATATCATTAAATTTACATAAATAGACTGTGATATTACATTTCAAATGTAAATTAACGTAAAAACACTGTAAATGTAATAAAACTTAATTTTCTTGTTTGTTAAATGTATCTATCTGTACATATTTAGATTGTTAAAATCAAGACTGGGACAAAAAATCGGCCCAGGCATTTTGACTAGAGACCGGCCCACCAGGATAAAGATTGAAAATGTGACGTCATTCAGGGGTAAAACCGCAAAGGATTCTGGGAACTTGTGGCAAGAGGTACTAGCGCACGCAGGCTTTCAATTGAACTCAGTTACACAGCGATAAAAAGAAACCAAAAAATGGCAAGAAGCTGTTGTATTATTAACTGCAACAGCCGGTCGCATGACAGCCACGGGAAGCCGATCGTTTTTTTTTTATCGGATTACGTCGTTGAAGAGAAATTTTTTAAGCCATGTTTCCGAAGTAAGAGCCGACGGATGGTCTGGATATACCAAATATAACGTCCCAGAACACTCCAGCTCACAGGTTAGTCTGCTCCAAGCATTCCCACAAAGGTCAGAGTTTTGTTAGTAGTTAATGCGTCATTTTTCTTAACATAATTGGTGATATAGGTTACAAGCAAGTCTGGCGCTGAACAGAAATTGTCGCGCTATGCTCCTTTATTTATTGTGCATAAATAGTGAATTGTCCTGACACAATATTGCGTTTCGCTTCTGTTATTATGGTACATTGACAAAAACATATACTTTTATTCACAGGATAAAACAGTTGTTTTTTGTATCACTAATTGCCCAGTACGATTACAGCATACAGTATTATTGTCACTGCTACATTTCTGTGATGCTACCAGAAATTATTTCCACTACTAATTAATTACCGTTGAGCTCAAAGGTCCTATTAATAAACGGTTAACGAATGTGTATTTATGACGACGATTTGTGAGACTGGTAAACTTATGATACGTACGATGGTCTTTCGTTCTACACGGTGCATTTCAAGGTCCTGCACCCATCCGTCGGTAAACTGTACCTGGGCTTGTTGCAGTGACCGGAAGTTACTAAACTTCATGAGTGTATGCACTCACTCCAAGAACCGTATAATTATAAATCTGAGCGTGGTGAAAGTTGGGCAGCACGCTAACGTCTTTTGTCCCTCTGTGTGCTCGTAAGGGTCTGACCCTTTCACTCCTTTGATTTTTTCCTCGTATCTTTTCTTTGTCTTTTCGTCGAGTCTGTCTTTGTACGGACCGGCATTGTTCTCCTTTTGTTTTGTACATTCCTTTTTTGTGCGGCAAAGAAAAAACAAGAAGGTATTGGAACCGGAGAATGAACGTTTTGCGGTGCTGCAAATGCTTGCATTTGATGCGGTACTTGGATTGTTTTGCCACGAGTTCCCGGCATGCAATGCGCGAAAATCACGTGATTGCTAAACAAGGGGGAGGGTGCATCCGGCCTCCTCGGCTGTAATTGGTCCAGCCCAGAGTCGATCATGACCAATTGGCCAATCCAACACCTTTCATTATATATACCCTTCCTAAAAAAAAAAAAAAAATCCATCGGCCCATAAAAACAAAAAATCGCGGTGTATTCCAACCCACCTCTGGCGCTGGTGCCCTACCCTCATTTTAAATGCATTTAGACACTAAGGGTTTTCGGGAAGAGCCGTGCTGCTCTCTGAGAGGAAGCTAGACATGCTCTTATGATTTAAACCAACTGTTAACTGTATATTTCTGTACATTTAAGTATTATTATTCATAGTGCTGCATTCATTGACCTTTTTTATAGGTAATTTCATTGTTTAATCACATAAAATTCTTCCTAATTTAATGTTTAAAAGCACTTGAAAAAGGCAAAATCCCATGTAAAATTAGGGCAACAAACTGTATTGTCATTACTGAAAATAACCGTATTTTCATGGGAAAGTTATTTTCTGTGATTTTATCGTATTATTTTGGTGCCCCAGCTGCCGGAAAATTACTGTCTTTTTAGGATTTTTTTTTTACAGTGTAGTTTTCCAGCCTGGTCGGGAACATAAAGTAGAAATCAGCTTGATTGCCGAGCAGTTAGCAGTTAGCAGTTAGCAGTTAGCGATCAGTCTGACCGTGTCAGAGATCATTGTTCCTTGGCACAGCACTAATTAAGTTAACCACTGTTGTAATTATTAAACACTTTACTGGAAATTTAATAAACAATGACCCTGTATTTCCCCCCTTAGTAAAATATAACTCTATAGAAGCTACGCCTCCAAACATCTGCTGGGCTTATCATGTCTGGTTTGCTAGATTAGCTAGCTACTCAGCTACACATTAGTTAGTAGCCAAAGCCCAATGACGTGGCAGATCAGCATCAAGTCTGTTGAAAGTTGCTTTTGGTCAAGCATTCTTTTAGTGATAAGCCATAATGTTGTATGTACTCCTGAGGTCGGTGTTCATTGACCTAGCGTACCAAGAAGTATGTCCGCTAAAAACAGCCTAACACAGGTTACAAAAAGTCATCTGCCTGTCCGAAGGTGATATGTAGCTGACATTACTGTGTGTTTGAGACCTTTGTGGGACTGCAGCTCTGTACATTATATAATGGCATTTGTGTTAGTGTGAGTTTGTGTGAAAAGGTGTTTCTGTGAAGCCTAACAGCAGAATGGAAACAGCCAACAGGAGGAGCGGACATGTTCTTGTTAGAGAGGGTCAGACCTCCTGAAGGTCACGAATGGCAAATAACCTAACCCTAACCCTAACCCTTCTTTCTTAGTAAACCTTCTAAGCTCCTCGCAGTTCTTTGGGCTCATTATTTACATTTCCCACGTGCTAGGTTTTGGAAATCTGCTGTTTCTTTGCAAAATGTTTGTGACTTTTCAGTTTGAAATACCGAGTGGTTCACACAAATTGCATGAACCACTCGGCATAATTGATCTGCTTTGGATTGCTTTGTAATGAAGTGCTCTGGTTTGTTTGACTGACTGCCTTGTAATCTAATTAGCATCCTTTCATTTTGTGAATTGAAACATGCTTTAACACCAAGTCACTAATCCAGTCAACGGATGCTGTGTAGAAACATGGTGCGCACATCTTCAGGATGTGGTGCTTGTTTGTTTTCAGTTTCAGAAATAAATCGAGGCTCAGCTGTTCACACTTTCATCTTTGCTCAGGATAAAAATATCCAGTCTTCTTGTGTCCTCCTTACAGCTTTCACATTTTAATCACAATATAATTCAGATTCCTTTCTCTGTAATCAGTTGTTCTTATCGCTGAAGCTGTGACAGTGTACCATCCATTTCTTTTTCTCGTCAACTCTCTAGCTTTTGTCTTTTAAAAGTAACTAATGATCCTCCTAACGGCTCTGAAACAACACTTTGAACAGTTTCTAGATTAAAGATATGCATCTGTGGCACCAAGGCTTTGGGCTAGTCACCTATTACAGTTACATTCAGATGACTCTGTGGACTTTAAACTTGGTTTTCAGTTGATACTTTTACTGATTTTAATTTATTATGCATCTTGTTTATGGCTTTTAATTTTCTTATTTATTTTACTTTATTTGTGTCCAGCACTTTGTGACCACTCGTCTATGGAAGGTGCTTCATGAACACTTTTATAACCTTTGTAAATGTTACTTACTGTCTGTGTCCTTCGCCCCGATGGTGAGATTGAGCTTAATTTAAAGAAGGGAATAAACAAGAAAGGAAAAAATGAGGGATTAAACCTTCCAAGGTGCACATTAGCTGGAACCAGAGCAGTATTCAGGTGTCAGAGAGGAAGGCAAGCCTAACAATCACAAAGTGACTCTAACATAACTGTAGCTCTTCCTTCTGTCGCCCTTAGCTGTGTGCTACAGTAGATAGTGTGAGAGCTCGAGTGACTGAGAGAACGATTCTCTGGATTCTGCTGTTCACGATTATTTGATTTATACTTGCACATTAAAAAATAAAGGCCCTCTTCCAGGGATATTCCGTTACATAAGTGAATCCTCCCATTCCCCTTCCTCACTTGTTACCAAGTGGCTGCTCCATGTGGTAACTTTGTATTTCAGACAGACGTTATTCTTCTAATGTGTAGCAGCGAGAAGTTTGCTGTTATCCAGTAAACCAAAATTTAATCAACATTTCTGAGCCACTAAAATAGATTTCTACAATCAGATATTGAACCATGTGACACATTGCTGTTGCTACAGTGCTGATTTGAGGCTCACTTCCCATAGAAGGAGCAGGGAAAGAACAGAAGCACCTGGAATTAGCTCAGATATTTGCAGATCTACAGTGGTGGGTGGGTGGGTGTCAGATTGTGCTCATTATGCAACACAAATTCACACTTAAATTGAAAGTAGGCCATAGCACCACAAATCCATTCACATCTCTGTCAATGCAGTCATCAACATTGAGCCACTTACATGAGCTCCTGGTGGATGTAAAGGACACTTCAGGGAAATTTGTGAGAACTGATGTTTTTGGACCTCATTTACACGTGGTATTTTCCTGCAGTTGTTGTATGGGTACACAAACAGTTGTTGTGTCAGATTCCTCTGAGTTTTGTGTGTCTGTGTGCAGCTATCTAGACAGCCTAGATCGAATTGGTGCGGCGGACTACCAGCCCACAGAGCAGGACATCCTGAGGACCCGAGTGAAGACCACAGGCATCGTCGAGACACACTTTACCTTCAAAAACCTTCATTTCAGGTCAGTATCCAAAGCGACTGCTGCCCCGATGTGTGCGCTCGGTGCTTTACTCTCAGCGGTGCCTCTTACTGCTCCTCTATCCAAGCGTACAGTAGGAACTCCAGCCTGTAATTAATGAGATTAAATGCTTTAAACAAGTGTCTATATTTATGATTCCCTTCCTTTTAAATGAGCTCTGATTCAATTAGAACAAGGAGCCGTGGGAATGATGACAGAGAGGAGAGGCATTATGGGAAAGAGAAGGGGCGAGTCCTGTTCTGGCGTCTAATCTAATCGCTCATTTTCCGCCCTACTTCTGTGGATGTGTGCAGGTATAAGCACACATTCATGTCCTAACTGAAGACAGCAGAGGGGTTAATACGTGTAGCATAGACACCAATTATTTTTCTGGATGGATGCACATCACGTTTGGCAGCTAATGCTTGTTTTGCTTTTCCTCCTTCTTTTGCTTGGGTTATATTGTGCAGTTCGTTCTGCTGAGTGATGCTTTCCTCTGTCACTCTCACTGTTGTGTAGGAGTTGTGCTGGGTGTGCTTTGTTGAAGAAGCCTAAATATTGTCAGCTCAGTTGCTATTACTAGCAGTCAGGCAGTGTGTGGGAGGCTACAGTGTTCCTCTCCTGGGTGTAACCCATGAACCTACCTACCATTATACCCATCACAGACTTGACTGACTTCATCTCACTGTGGATTAAGTCCTTTAGGGTGGTTGTTATGTTCTTTTCTAAAATTGCACATCTGAATCTGGTCATTTGCAACATCAGCTGACTTACTTTCAGTGCAGCACACTCCTGTTTTTTGGTTAGTGTGTGTTTTTGTATACTTGTGACAGATGTTGAGCTACCTCAACAGCTTCAGCTTTAGTGCAGTCCTCAGAAAATCAAACCTGACGTCAGAAATTGCCACGTGTCTGAGGTAATCGATCCGGAAAACTGTCGCTGCAGAGGAGAGACGGGAGAAACAAATCCAGATACTCTGAAGCTCCATTTCACTCACTGTGATAAAACCCTGATAGGATTTAGCGTCAGGCTAACACCCTGATCTGTACACGCCGCAGTCAGCAGGTACAGTGTGCATACGCAGAGGCACTGTCCTCGCTCATGCAGAGGAATAGCAACCTTCTGACAGCAAATATAAGAGCTCCTTTGTTTATCTGAAGAGCGTGAATAAGTGAAAGTCACATGTCAGATCATCATCAGTGATAACAGTATAAGGAAATGATGTCAGCATAAAAACTGTTTCTGTGTTTCTTTAAACCACAAACTGTTTCAAAAATCAGATTCTGAGGAGAAAAGAAGGAAATCCAAGAAGATCTTTGTGACGGCGCTCGGCACGCTGTTAATATCAGACATCCTCAGAGCACCTTCAGGTCCAGGAGCGAGGCCAGAGTCCTTCTGTGTGGACGTGAACCTGTTATTAGGACTGTGTTATACCCACGGACTGAAAGCTGCTTTACTCCCCGGATCTCCGTCAGTTTGGACGTCTGCTAAGAAGTCGTTCTCAAATTGAATCAGGCTTCGAAATGAGCTTCAAATTGAATCACCTTCTAATTTGACTTGACTGAATTTAATTTATTATTTCTATTTTGTACAAATGTAATAATTGACGATTTCAATTATGTTTGTGTTAAAAAATCTGATCTTGTTTCCTGTGTTTGTCTCTTGTGTCCATCAGGCTGTTTGATGTGGGAGGTCAAAGGTCAGAGAGGAAGAAGTGGATTCATTGTTTTGAGGATGTCACAGCCATTATTTTCTGTGTGGCGCTCAGCGGATATGACCAGGTGCTGCATGAGGACGAGACCACGGTAAGGACACGTGTTCACAGCTGTGCTCTCTCTCTCCAGTGAATCCGTCCCACGTTTATGCATTCTGGATTTAGGAAAACAAAGGTCACGGCACACACGACAAGCAGCCAGTGTAAAGATAGATCTATGTTTGTCACATGTAAGCGGACACAAAGCTTGTGACAGGGCTGGAGAGAAATGTCTGAAGAAATCAAGCCGTGCACGTCTGAAAGGGTTATATATAAATACCTAATGCATTCCCATTAGGACCCACAGACTGACTCTGTGGTAAACCACACGTCGTGCTACACAATGAACTTCTGTGGAATTATCCTCTGGGCTTTTACTCACTTCCTGCTGCAGAATACGTGAGGACGCTGAAGTCCCCACGGAAAATAGTTTTCAGACTTTTTGTTTAACAAAGGTTGTAACTGAATGCAAAGGTACATGCGAGTTATTTTTTATCCATGCAAATTATTCTTCCCTGCAACGCACAATAAACAAATTTCTAACTTGGACACAGCGAATGTTCCACATGATTCAACACGGCGGCTGTAGAGTCCTGGACGGGTGAAGTGTCGTCACCGCAGAGAAGAAAGAAGTGGTGACATAAACCACAGAGGATCCCTAACGATTATATCGCGTAACCTAAAACAAATAAGCTGATTTGAATGCACAGCACTCGCTGCTATTTATAAGCATAGAGTGAATCCTGGGAGAATTCCAGGAAGTCGAAATGTGTTCAGGTGCTCATCTATTTATGCAGCTGTCATCAAGCTTCCCTCTGAGCTGGGAGCACCAGAAGACGGGCGCTGGAGGAGAGGAAATATCCACCACAAAATGTGCTCACAAATAGCTTCGTCCTGTTTTTGCCGCTTGCATTTAAAATCTGTTGTTTCTGTGCCTCCATATAAATAGCGGTGCAGTTGTAAACAGGCGTAGCTTTGAGCTTGCTGTTTCACAGTCGTGCATTTGTCTTTACAAACCTGTGTGGAAGAAGCAAAATCCCACCGAAAGAAACAGGCTGGACCTTTTTCAACGACGAGATAGTGATTCTGATTTGTTGACGTAGAAACCGTGAAAGAGCGTGAAAGGCTGCCTCTGTTACCTCTGCACCACTGCCACAGGAGTTTCAATCAAAAGTGTCGTACTTAATGATCGCTTGACAGAAATTTACAGTATTGCTAATGTCATGAACGTGAGACGTGATGTGACATCTGAAAATCCCAAGACACAACAAGACAGATCCAGGCATCCAGCGGTAAACACGCTCATATGTTCAGACAACACGAGCTGGAGTGTTTTTGTTTTTGCAATCTGACTGACGTAATTCTCAAATCAACACTAATATTGTTGAACCAAACAGTTTTCAACGAGCTGCTGCATCCTCTGTCAGTTTTACTAGCAGATGCGTCCGTATGCGCACAGTGAGGATGTTACACAGTCGAATGGTAAAGATACCCCCCCCCGACCCGGCAGTAATGGGAGTGATACATACTGCATATCCCTTCTGGGCAGTTCATCAAAGTCGCTGATAGGCTGTGGATTTAATTAGCATGGCAATATTTCCCATTATACTGATCCTTGCTGGACGGGAGATTTTTCTTTTCCCTATCAGACCGAGATCGTGCGTCTGCAGCCCTCACTGCTCTGTCTGCTGACTTGGTTCGAAGGCTGTTTCATGCTGCATGACGACATGCTCCGTGCCTGCATTTAACTGTGTTTAATGACGTTTGAAATAGTTTTCCCAAGAACTCCCAGAATACTAGAGATCGCCAAAGTCACACGACTCAGTCTTTTAATGTCACTATACACATGTACAGTGAGATCCACAGTTAGTGTGCAAATATACAAATAAAAGTGTTATATATTTACAGTGTGGGTTATTGCACAGTATTGACGGTAGTTTATGTACAGAGGGAAGTCCTTGGATTGGGGGGTGGAGCTGTGTCGTCACGTGTGAGCTCAGGGTGGCTTTTGGGAAGAAACTGTTACATTATATCAATGTGTTGTTATTATCAGTATTATTATTATTATGTATTAATAAATAATGGTGGCAAAAAACAAAATAGGTTCATTCACATTTCACTGTTATGAACTCCTTGACATTATACATCCCATAATCACCCACACACATGACATTTATAACACTTTTGTCTAAACAAGAGATGACACGTGTGAGTTACAGCTTCAAAGATACTGCTTGAGTGAATGTTTCTTAAAGCCTTTCAGCACTTGCAGATATGCTGCCATTGGTAGAACAGGAAAACTTCTTATAGCCGAGATTTAATCGTGGGCTGTTTCAGAGGACAGAGAAGAGCTGAAAGAGCCGCTCGCCGGCTTTCTGACCTTTTAAAAAGCATCAGTGTGTTAGAGAGACATCGACACGGCTCACGCTACACTCAGTGCTGTTGCTTTGTTGTTCTATTGCGTCTACTCCAGCAGCATTGTGTTTTTTCTGTGTCACCTCCTCATTTCTGTTGGAACGCTCTAACGAACACAGGCGTATCCCCCCACCCTTTGACGAGACGACTGCTGTATGTGGATACTGTCTTCCTGCCTAAACACTTTCCTTTTAGCACTTGGGATGCATGTGTGTGTATGTGGGATAGAGGACGGGGGGTTAAAAAGGAAGTGGGACTTGGGTTGGGGCGACGGGGTCCCTTGCATTTTCTGTTCCTGCTCTAAGCTCCACCCTGCAGCATCTCTGGCTACTTCCACTCCTCCTGTCACTGTTGCCATCGACTGTCTTCTCTAACCAATCAGCAGTCAGATCTTCTACAGAAGCTCCACCCACAGACAGGTATGAAACCACCCCGATAGGTGTACGCACACTCTGAGAGTTGAAAGCAGCGCCTCTTTGTGTCTGTGAACCGCTCAATCCAAAAATGTTGTCTGGCTTTCTCCTCTCTCTTTCTTCCTGGTAACTTTTTAAAGCTCTTCTTAATTTCCTAATTTTCTATAGATCTGTTTTCCCCTAATCCAATCAGCTGCTTTTGCTCCCCTGTCCTGATCTAAGCAGGAAAGAAATCAAACTGGAGAGAAACTGCTTTCAACTCTGTCTCTGAATCAATTTCACTGTAGCATGAACGGGTTTGTTATGAACAAATAATCCAGGCCTCAGTTTTGTTTCATCTTCTACTTATTTTAGTAACCAACCAAACAGTGGATACTAATTATTCATTTATGAAGCACATGCATTGTTCCTGTTTGGCCGAGAAGATAAATATAGTCAGAAAACACTTGCAAAGCTTTTAGTTTCAAAGTGCAGTAATAACTTGAGCCTCCTCTTCCTCCTCCTCCTCTCTGCCTTTACACTTCATTACCTCCACAAACTGTCACTGCAGCTTTTTCCTCAAATACATGCTGCCAGCCCGTGCAGTCACCTCCTCCTCCTGAAAGCCTCACTCTGCAGGGCCCAGAGTGGGTGCTTGTGCTTAGTTACTCAGTGTAATAGAAGCTAACTGGCTAAAAGAGCATGGCTTTGCTATTTAGATTACTAATAATGTTGATTATTGATACGTTGATACAAATACACATACCCAGATATACGTGTCACTTTCCAAGAGGAACTTCCAGGACTTCTGTTCTTAGATTCAATTTTAATTCCTCTTTGTGTTAAGATTGTGTGCATGTGATATGGGTGTCCTTAATTTCGCTTTGTGTATGCATGTAGGTGAATACTATATGCCCGCGTTTCTGTTATGTGCTTTTACAGTGTGTTAGTGGTTAGAGGTTTAACAGCCCCGTTAACTCGTGCTAATGTCTCTCCTGCAGAACCGCATGCACGAGTCTCTCAAGCTGTTCGATTCCATCTGTAACAACAAGTGGTTTCAGGAAACCTCCATCATCCTCTTCCTGAACAAGAAGGACCTCTTTGAAAGCAAGATCAGCAAGTCACCGCTGTCCATCTGCTTCCCTGAGTACACTGGTACATAAAACCCTGCACTGTGACATCTCATGAAGTGTAGTTATGTTAAGAAAAGCCAAACATGGGTTCTAAAACGAGAACTAGAACCCCTCCGAGAGTCCAAACCTGCACCGAGGATTTACTTTTAAGGGAATCGTTCTTTTCTATGTATTCATTTTATTTTTGTTTAAAAAGTTTGCAGTGCAGTAAAGGAAAGGCAGCTGTGAAGTGGAACAGTGAGATCAGAGGTCAAAGGTGACGAGATATTTGAACGCAAACTATAACGTGATATTTAGAAAATCCATATGCCGACATCATTCCCTAAATGTTACGATACAAACAATAGGTTCAAAGATGAGACACATTTTATGGAAATTTGACCTTGAAGAAAAGGTCAGAGGTTACATCATTGCTTACACAGCAGGAAACAATGTTTTAAATAGCTAAACTTTGACCTTCGGATCAATCTCTCGACTTTAAAGGAGGTCAGATATCAAATATGTGGCGATATTTGAACTCTTTATATGGTGCTTTCTATATATTGACAGTACACACTTGTAAGAGTGGAGCCTGGCCTCAGTCATAATCTGCCCTCTCCTGCTTAGGCCACAGGTTACACTGCCAGGTACAGTCAATACTACAAATGCAGTACGCATTCAGATAACTACATCAGCAGCTACAGCAGTGTTCCTGCTTGACATCAGAGCTGCAGGCTTTAAGAAGCATTAGTTCCCAGCTAGATGTTGCTTGGTGGCTCTTTACAGCATTCGTCAACACTGGAATGGAAAAATATGTTTACTATTCAACTTTATTTACACAGCGCTGAATCACAGCAACAGTCGCCTTAAGGCGCTTTATATTGTAAGGTCGACCCTACAATAATACATACAGAGAAAAACCCAACGCATATGACCCCCTATGAGCAGCACTTTGGTGACAGTGGGAAGGAAAAACTCCCTTTTAACAGGAAGAAACCTCCAGCAGAACCAGGCTCAGGGAGGGGCGGGGCCATCTGCTGTGATTGGTTGGGAGAGAGAAGGAAGACAGGATAAAGACATGCTGTGGAAGAGAGACAGAGGTTAATAGCACGTATGGCTCAGTGCAGAGAGGT